TCTTCATTCTTCACGTTGACCATAAGTGGCCATTCATTCAATGGTATGAAAAAGCAATATTATTATACATAGTCATGACATTTTGTCCCCCATTTGATTAACGTAAAGCTCAAGTAATATCCACAGATGTTATTTAGCATCAAAATTTGGAGAATGGAACCATAATATAACCAGTTACTGATTTAAATCTAAGATGTAAGAAATACTTTGGGTGGTGGATAATGTTTTGCATAGTTTCGGTGTAAAAGTGTTTAATAGATGTAATTTTGCCATGGTAGTAATATCTGCCGAGATGAAGCTTGTACCTGGCCGCATCACCAGCAACCCTAAATCGCGACAATCATGTGCAGCACTTGTGAAACAACAAAATATTATTACACATGAGAATATTGATGACAAGAAGAATTAATCATAAAACAAATTGAAAACTCATAGGCCATAGTTCTATAAAATTTCAAAACATTACCATAACCCTCATCGAGCTTAGTGGTTCCATCAAGAAGAGTAACCATATACAGTCAATAACTGAAAAAACACAAATTTTATTATTTAAATTTCACGCCAATATAATTCATGCCTTGCTAACTCAAAAGCATTTAGGTAACACAAAGCAACACACAGAGACTAAGGTTGTATAAACCCATGACCGTAACAACAGAAAAATGATGACAGAAATACCTGATCTGCTGTTAGAAATAGAGGTCGCCAAACCGATATGACATTGGTCCGGCGAGAACACGACCACCCATCAATTTTGACTGCATCACAATATAATGGAAAGTCTCATACAAGCTCCTAAAAAACATGCGAGGTCGCTGGCGCAGTATGAATCACCAAACCATCAGGAAATCGCGCTTGTCTTTTTTTTTTTTCTTTAAAATCGCCACCTAGCCATAGCAGCTTCCTGCAACTGTTTTTGGAAACAATGGCAGCCTCCCCACGATCTCCCTCCATAATTATAAACACCTAAAGAAAAGTCAAATTGTAAAAAGAAGTACATACCGAAATCAAAGAGTACGCAATTGTTATGAAATAATGTTTTCCGTCAGTTAGTACCAGCGCATACTGTGTATCGTGCATCTCCAGGAGCTTCTCCTCCTTCTCCTAACTCGTAGAACGGCAGTCGGTGTCCCTTTGAAGGAGTCCAGTGCAAAACTCAAGTTTATTTTTCCACCCTTCAAATGTGTCAAGAACCCACTATATAAGGAAATGATGTAATCTAAAGCTACCATTGACAAACAAAAACAATTTAAGAAGACAAGCCATGACCCCCGACCCCACAAAAGGAAATGCAAACTCCAACCTACCTTCTTATGGAACCAAACTTTCTTGTTCTTTCCATCCATATACAGATGATTCTTTGTGACCAGAAGTTCAACACTTGAGCCTTGGTTCCAAGCTTCTTACAGAGTAAGTGCCTTTGCCGCCTACAGACATCGATAAGTGTAATATGGCAAGAAAAAAGGATTTAAGTCTTGATATGCACATGCTGCATCAGTATTGATAATATGAAGCTAAAATACCCGTGTGAAGAATAAAACATTAAAAATTTTGATTAGCTGACAAATAAAGTATAATGATGTTTATAAAATTTTAACAGGTACAAAGCATTGACAATATTTATAACGTAACTGTAACTCCAATGGATCTCCATATCAGTTTCCCGTACTAAGAATCAACAACAGTATTAACAATTCAACAATGTGAATGAATTAGAAGAGAACATTATTATGGCCCAAATCTTCACCGTAAATAATAGTTGAAAATGAGGTAATAGAAGAGATAAATATAAACTGTGCATAGGTCTTCAAGAGGGTAAGATCGTCTTCGTCCATAGCATTAGGGTTCTTCTGAATTCTGATCGATCAATCGTGAAAAAAAAAATTAACCATTGGGTCAAACAAATCGACAACTTTGAAAACAAAAGCCCCAATTACCTGACAATTTATTTCTTATATCCAACGCCGATGGCATAATTATCCTCGACAACCCTCGCAAACAAGTACGGCTTGAGGAAGTTGCCCAGATTGAAAAACTTATCCTTCATCATCCTCTCCGCATCATTCTTCATGAAAGTGCGCTAGATTAGGGGCTGGTTTCGCCGCTGATCTTGGGAAAAATAGTTGATGTCGTAGACCACCTCCGGCAGCAACGTCGACGCGATTGATTTGACGGAGGCAGAGGGGGAGGCGGAAGACGCGGTACTCCGTCGCCTTGGGGATGGCAGAGATGTATTCGGTGTGGGTGACGGGGCTCATGATCTCCTATGGCTTCTTGGTGTTGTTTCTGAGAGAGAGAGAATAAATTGTGAGGTTGGCGTCTTGGAGAGAAGAAGTCAAAAGGAGAGACATGTAGCAGGTGAGATTGATGTGAGAAGATTGCGACCCGGAAGAAAAGGAAAACAAGATATGGAGTACAGATTTTCCTCACCCACTATGTATAAAGTTAAAATGGCAATTTTGTGATTAACGGGAAAAATAAAGGCTTTTTTGGGTTGAAAACTTGCCACGTGTCAGCACCTCAAACTCCTTATATTTTTGCTTATATGTAAGGGAGAGATATACCAATTAATTCAAGCTCAACTCGTTAACTAAATAAGCTTAAACTCGTCTTATTTATCAAACAATATGAACCAAATTCAAAATTCAGGAGTGTGTCGTCGTTCTATAATATTCCTACTTCGCAAAAGAGAGGCCCAACAAAAATATTAATAGAATTTGGGAAAGTAAAAGGATGATTAAAGAGGAAAAGAACAAAAAAAAAAGAGAGAAAAAGAAAAAAAGAGGAATTGAATTATTAGAGTGTTACACAACTTTGTGTTTTGAATTACAACAGGAACCTATGAACTGAATAAAGAGTTCAGTTCTTACAATATGAGCTAAAACAGAAATATAAATTACAACTCGAATGCGAACAGATTAAAGACGAGACGATTGAAATCTTTCCGCAAGACAAATACGCCTCGTATAGTGCTGATGGATCTGTGCGTAATGTCCCCAAAGATACAACGGCAATACACTCGGAAGCTGTAGCACACCAGCCTTCAGAGTTCCAGCGAACGCGAATGAAGACGAGAACTGAGCACTATGATATGATGTGTGAGGCTTTGAGAGTATTCAGAATGCATGAAAAATGTTGTGTCACTTTCTCTGCAGCTCTAAGTCATATTTATAGGACTTCCACCTCTTGAGGGAATGTAAACAGTCATATCTGTCACTTAAGGCAGAGATAAATGGGCAGAAACGTTTCAGGTGTTACTACACCATTATCCAGGTGTTAACACCATTGACCAGCCATTAACACTCCACCTGAACAGTCACATTCTACCACAGGAACAGTTAGGTGTCCAGGTTCATTGTACCTGGAGAGGTCTCACTCGGGTTGGGTCAAAACCCGAGTCCAAATCCAAATTGGATTTTTTAGTTGGGTTTAAAATTGCAAATAAATTTGCAGCAAAAAGATATATAGTGATTGGGCCCAAGGCCCAACCGCCCAAGGCCACCCAAAGTCTAATTGCCAAGAGCCAAGTCCCAAGCCCGTGCTCGTGCCCGAGCCGGCTGGCGGGCGCGCGCTCGTGTGGCGAAGACAACACCAACACTTAGTGCATAGCTTTATGCTTGTTGTAACCTCTCCAACTCTTTTTATTATAATAAAGAGAGTTAAACTCATTTTAAGAGTCCAATGTGGGAGTGACTCTTGACCCTTCAAATCCCACAACCAACGTTTTACGTGCCTTTTATGCTAACTTTAACAATTTATTTCTCACTCACCGAAAATCAGTTTTGAGAAAATAAATATTCCACGAGTATCTACTCGGAACGTAGATTTTTTCTACAGTATTTAATTCAACTCAAATTAAATATTTAGCCATAAAAAATAATCAAAACCGGGTCAAACTCAAGTTTTATAACTGATTTTTCCAACAGAGAGTTGAGAGCATTGTTTCTCAACCCGGACCGGCCCGACGGGTGAACTTGGGATCCGGCCGTTCCAGAGCTGGAATTGGTCCGAATAGGCTATTTGAATCGGGTAACAATGGACTCGGTCAAACTCGGTCAAAATCCAGTCAACCCAGTCTTGACCCATTCGACCCGGGTGATTGACTCAGCCGGGTCAACCCGGTATTCCCGGTCCTATATGTTTTTTATTTTTTTTAAATAATTTTATATAAAAATAAAAACTATGTAAATATATTAATATAGTAAATATTTATTGTGAGATACAATTCTTTTAACACTTTAATGTATAAAATTTATATACAAAATTTATTTTTGTTACTTTTATGGGTGTGTTTGACACGTATAATAAGCTAGCTTATAGCTTATTTGGTTAGCTTATAAGCTTTCTGTATCAAATAAGCCTCATTTGGTAGGACAAGCTTATTTAAAAAGCTCGAGCTTATTTGATAAGCTTGTTTAGGTAGCGTTTCAAAATAAGCTAGTTGACTTTTTTATTTCAGCTAGCTTATAAGCTAGTTTTACCAAACACTTTTATCATATAAGCTAGCTTTTCAACTATAAATCATAAGCTATAAGTTATAAGCTAGCTTATAGCTTATCAGCTACCAGCTAGCTCATAAGCTATCAGCTAGCTTATCAGCTAGGTTTACCAAACACACCCTATGTATATTTATATGTCAAAAATACTATATTTATAATTTTCAAATATTTTAAAATGAATAATTTGGTTCGCCAATTGATCCGCAAATGATCCATCGGATCTGGTGACCCAGACTTGGCTATCAATTTCTGGGTCGGGTTTAAAAACTATGGTTAAGAGGGCTTCCACTAGAGTTGGCTTTCTCACCACTACAGTGCCTCTTAAGGGCAACACCTGTCCGTCTTTTGTCGCCATCTCTGCACCCTTTTTCTATTATTCTACTACTGAAACTAACTCGCGCAAACAAACAAACGCTTTCTTATTTCTGGAATTTTTCCAAACATCTAATAATATTCTCTGAACAAAAAATATACAAAATCTAGAGTGACAATTTATTGGAGATGGGTGGATCTGGAGCCGTTAGCTTCCTCAAAGTGCTGGCCAAGAATTTCGATATTCTTGCTGGGTAAAGTCATCTCTTTTTCCATCTATTGCCTTATTTTGGGGAATTTAGGGTTGGGTTTGCTTTCCCTTTTATTTTTTATTGGTAATTATTTTTACAGATGAGATGGGGTGTTTGTATATGTTTGGGAATTTGATTTTTTGCAATAAAAATTGAATCTTGATAGTAATATCTCATTGTAATGGTGATTTTAATTTTGGGTTTCTGTTTTTGCTTACGCTTGTCTTTTGATTCGATGTTTTTGGTTCCTTTGCAGGCCTGTGGTTAGTCTGGTTTATCCTCTGTGAGTGGGTTTGTTTCTTTAATTTTTGTCTTTTTTCATAGTTCTTTAGCTGCTATACTATAATTTAGGTGTATTTCAGCAAAAAAGATATTATTTTGTATGTAAGAGTGATTTGTTTGAGCTGTTTGTCTACTGATTTGGTGATAATATGGGCTAATGGTGGTGGGATTTTGAGGATTTTGACAGATATGCGTCGATTAGGGCAATCGAGACAAAGTCACCTGCTGATGATCAGCAATGGCTTACTTATTGGGTTCTTTACTCCATGATCACCTTGTTTGAGCTTACTTTTGCAAAACTCATTGAATGGTAAGTGTTCTCTTTCTTTTGTTTTGGAACAATTAACCATGTAGACGTAGGCCCTGTTTGGAATGCCTGGATAGCGGATAATTGATAGCAGATATATAACTGATTGAATTGCTTGTGGACTACCTAATTGGATTTGTGGATTATGCAAGGTATTACTTAGCTGTTTGATATTTGAAAACAACTAATTTACAACCCTCCATCCCCAAAAGTTCACATTTTTTGCCTTTTCGGAAGTAGCTTTTTGGATCCAAATCACTATTTCATATTGCTACTTACCACACAATTAAGATTAGAGGTTCTGAGGTCAGAACTTCTAATTCACCTCAAACTTCTAATTTAGCCCCAAAACGCTTAGTACCGAACATGGCCTATATAGGTCTTAGACATCTATTTACTGATTCTGTTGACTGTTGGACTTGATTAAATAGCTGTTATCATACCTTGTTTTGTATTTATTGTGGTGGTTTAGTGGTTTATACTTACGTTATTCTTGAGAAAATCCTGTATTTTCTTCTTTTCTTTTTTCTTTTTCTTGGGGTTGAAGTTATTGGAGACGGAAGCATTATATGAGATGAAATCTGGAGAACGTTTCCGAAAATAATTGAAGCTGGACAGGGACTCCACTGGGATATAAAACACACAATAAATCATATTTTACGGACTATTTTTGTTTGAGATGTTAACAAGATAGTGATAATGAAAAGATTTATATTACTAACGTACTGGGGATAACAAACCTATCGATGCGTCATTATCAAGTATAGGCTGTATTTGCATTGTCCAGCCTGCACAGCATTTGTTTTCTTTCCTTTCTATTTGAAAACATATTAATTTCGGAACAAAGAAAAGGAAAAAAAAGCAGATGAAATAATATGTTCTAGAAGGACATTCTCTTTTTATTTTTCATCTTCTTCACAAGTTAAATGTGTTATTTAATCATGTGCATTGTGTTCGTATCCTAGGTTACCTCTCTGGTCGTATGCAAAGCTAATATTCACCTGCTGGTTAGTCATACCGTACTTCAGTGGGGCTGCGTATGTTTACGAGCAATATGTTAGGCCTTATCTTGTCACTCGACAGAAGTCTGTGAATATCTGGTATGTCCCTAAGAAGAAGGATATTTTCAGCAAGCCAGATGACATTCTAACGGCTGCAGAAAAATACATACAGGAAAATGGGTCCGAGGCATTCGAGAAGATGATTAATAGGGTATGTAGTTGTCGTTTTTTAGTTTTTAACTTCTTTTTTTTTTCCCGCATGTTGGTATTTTCGCAAAATTGTCCTGCAACTATGTAAGAATCTATATTTTGGCCCTGAATTCGACAAGGCCATTTTTCTGCAGTCCCCTAAATGATCTGCAATTTCGCATCTTGTTAAATATTTTCTTGAAGTCGTTCTATAGACAATTCTATAAGTACTCAAATTCATAATTATACAGCACAGCAATCTGAACGTTCACATAAGAGATATATCGTATGTTCAATTAAAAATTATTTTGTATATAAATAGGATCATGAGATTTTATACGACTTTTCCATGCTAATTTGGTTTCTCCTTTCCCTATTTTGATTATATATCACCAGTCGTATGATTTTATTCATTTTTACCTACTTCCAGACTAGAGAAACTTCTGCCAAGACTAGCAACTACACTTTCCACAACGACTATAGATATGACGAGGACTACAGGTACTGATCGTGGCCGAGTTTGACCCTTTCTGTAAAGAGAAACATGTAACTTTGATGACACACCGTAATACAATCTTCGAAACTGACTATGTTTTTGAGGCACCTATTTTATTCTAATGTGATCGTTAGTCATTGGGTTGATGCTAAAAAAATGCTGCTTTCTGTTGTTGGTGTGTGTAGTTTCGAAAAGTTTTCGGATGTAATGTTCGTTTGTTGTTTTGAATCCTCATATTGATGAATAATAGCAAAAATTGTGATACATAAATACCCAATGTAGTATATATCCTTTTGGGTGTGAGATGATTGATGACTATCACCAGTTACTTTATGGATAAACATATGGTCATGTGATTTTGTTTGGTTGCTCAACAGAGGATTGTTGGAAGTTTCAGCAGATTATTACAAAATTAAGCAGCGAAAATTAACATATTTATTACAAAAACTTCATAAATATATATAACATGGGATTTGTAAGGAGCGGAGCCGAGCTTGAGCTCATGTAGCATGAGCGGAGCCGAGCTTGAGCTCGAGCTCATGTAGCATGAGCGGAGCCGAGCTTGAGCTCGAGCTCGGGTTTCATAAATATATATAAAACTGCTCGAGCTGAACTATATAAACGTCATTTTTGCTAGCCTTATCAAGTCGAATGGAGGTCGATTCGTTAACCAAATAAGTTTTAAATGAGCTCGAATCTTAATGAGCCGAGTTCTCATTTAATTTAATAGTTGTATTAGTAGAGCTACCAGAACAATTAATTATTTATTACCCAACAGATTTTCAACATTTAAATTGGACAGATTGGTAAGGAGCAAGTAACAAAACAAGGTCCATGAAGTTTAAGCCACAGACAACATCAAGTTAACAAAAAAAAAAGAAAATTAAAAAAATAAAAATAAAAAAATAAAGCAGCAAGGGGCATTCCGAGAATTGAACTCGGGACCTCTCGCACCCTAAGCGAGAATCATACCACTAGACCAAATGCCCAATGATGTTTATTAATGATGTTAAATTAGCACAAGATCTTATTCTATATTCTGAAGGAGGGAACTAATAAAAGGAGCCCCGCCTCTTTCTCTTGAACCAATTTCGTTGATCATTTCACTCTTCCCACCTGTCATTCAATTTCCCTGAAACAAGCTTCTCTCTCTCTCTCTCTCACACACACACACACACACACACACACACATACACACACTGCTGGAAATAGACTTCCTGCACCTCCGGCGACGTACTCATCAAGCGATTCATGAGGTTGGATTCGGGGTCCGGTGATAATAATAAATGGATATCACGTACTGCCACCGCTAAATCGATCGGCGCTTTGCTTTTTTCCTGAACCCTCAGCTCCTTCAGGTTCGTTTTTTATCTGATTCCTCACTGCTTGATCGCGAGTAAGTAATTGATTATCATGGGAGTGATTGCAGATTTGGAAATTTATGTGGTTGGATTTGTATCTAATAATAATGGCGTTTGTCACTTTCCTTATGAGCTGGCTTCGTGTTCAGGTTTTGATTACGCCTGCATGGGCTTCGATTAAGACGTTCTCTAGATGTTCGATTATACGTAGAGCATATTGTTTCCAGAAGTTGAATCTTCCTTCTGTGAACTCAATTTTGGCTGTTTTTTCTGGTTGTTTTTTTTTAGTTTGGTTATTGTATATCATGCATGCTTGGATCAACGGTAAATGCGGTATGTGGGGCTTGTATCTTGTTCCGATGAAGATTTTTTTGTTTGCCGCGAGTGGTTAAGGCCTGCTGGTGAATGGTGATGGTATTAGCTGTTACTTTTTCGTTTTTCTTAATTTCTAAGTATGTATGGATGACTGGTAACATTTCTGTGAGATACTTTGTCTCCCAACTTAGTTTCGTCTCATATGAAGTGTTTTGTCATGATATAGTGTTTTTGAGCTGAAAAATATGCTGAAATTCCCGTATTTACCATTTCGAGTTATTTGTTTTTGATGTTGTCTTGATGGATCTCACCATTTTCATTATGAGTTAATTGATATTACAGCTTGATGAATACCCTACCAAGTTGCACTGAGGATAGGGATACTGTGCAGGTATAAAACCGTGGGACAAACTATTTCTATTTCAGTGCTTATTTTTTCTTATTGAAGTATTTGTACTTTTTTCAGTCATAGATAGTCCACCAGAACTTCATATTACTCTTTTTCTCATTCCTTTTCTTTATTCTTGAGAAACCGAACCTTGGTTAATTTATAGATAATTATTAGCATTATTTCATATTACATTTGTAAATGCTCTTATTCTTAGTTTCCTTTCTGCAAACATCTTGATACAGTATATAATTTATGTTTTGCTCATTTAGACCTTAGTTGCTGTTCATTTTGTTCAATAATTGCATAATGTGGTTGTAGACTGAGTTTCATGTCCTATAAATAAGAACAATGGAAACTTAAATATTATGTTGTGTTTTTTTAGGTAGTTTTCCAAAATAAAAATAAAATAATAAAATAAAAATATCTCATAGAGGATGACTACGGCAGTCAATGCATAATGCACTTTCTCTTGATTGTTGTTCTCCCAACGACTTCATTTTAACATTCTCAACTGTTCTAATTTCTTTGTGACAGGCCATTAATGGCTTGAAGAGAGGTTCTTATCTTCTTAAATATGGGCGATGGGGCAAACCGAAATTCTGCCTTTTCCAGCTCTCCAGTGTGAGCCACAATTTTTTGTATAAAGCATTATAAAAATTGTTCTGTTGGTGTCCAGCATGTGATACAGTGATAGACATTATCCTTTCTTCATCCTTTACTCCCATAATCCCATTATACGCATTATAAAAATCACTATTAGGGAGTTTGCTATGGACTTCAGTACCAGAACTCAGCATGAACAAATATGATTGCATTATCTGGTATGATATTTACTAAGATGGATTTAGATAAATGTAAACAAAACTAGAACAGATTTGACTTTATGATAATTGTAGGAGTTAGCAACTATGCTGGTAACGTGAAACAGTTAACTCCATATTTTATTACTTTTTTATATACATAGGCTTAACATGATTCTATACTCCTCTCACATCACAAATATTTTGACACCAACTGTATTCAATACTGTCATTTCACCCCTATCTGTATTTATAAAATTTCAGGATGAGAAAGCATTAATTTGGTATTCTGGGAAAAAACAAAAGCAGATTCAACTGGGTCAAGTTTCAAGGATTGTACCTGGACAACGTACTGTAAGTTTGCCTGTGTCTTGCATGGCATATTATGATTTTATTGTTCTCTTTATTTTGTATGATTTTTTAAGCGTGGCTGACAAAAGCTATCTTAGTTGCTCTGTAAGTTGTAATTTGAGAGTAAAACTACTATGAGGAAATACTGGTGGGCTAATGGCCATTATTTATATGTATATTGAAACTTAACCCCTCATGTTACTTAAAATGAGTAATTTTCCCTTTTCATTACATAGCTTCTGCATTGCATAAAAAATTGATCATGACACTTGTGTGCATGCTTGCTTCTGTACTGACGTTTTTTGTATAGGGCTTCATTATATACACATTTGATAGGATGTATGTTTAGTATTAAGTTTAAGGTGCACTTGGATTGAGTGCTTGATTTGCTCACTCAGACGAAAAAAAAATAGAAAAATAAATAAATTAAATTAATTGAATTGCCTTTATAAGAACTAATATGATTTAAAATGCAGGCTGTATTTCAGAGGTATCCTCAACCTGAGAAGGAATACCAGTCATTTTCTCTTATGTATGGCAGAAGATCATTGGACGTGGTATGCAATACATAGATGGTTCTTTTGGCTTCCATAACTTATTTTTTAGTATTATGTTGCAGATGTACGTTGAACGCAAAAGTTGATATATGGTGAACTATCATTGTTCTGTCAAAAGATGGCACCAAATAATTATCTTTTTCTTGATAGGATGTAGGGTGAACTATCATTTTCCTGTTAGGAGATGACACTAAAAAAGAAAATATGAAAATAAATGTTACGGAGAACCTAATGTAGGAAACGTGGATCTCAAAATCAGGAGTGCACAATCAGTCATTCATTTTCTTAATTCCACCCATGTTACTTTGAATGAGAACGATCTGGACGGGATTGAATTGGAGTGATAATATATGCAGAACAATTTAGCAACATTTACAGGTGTTCTGGTGTGTAGATGCTACCGTGCTCTACTATTGTTTTCACCGATGTGGAAGGATGAAGCAATTATGGAGGTTCATTAAGCTCTGTTTAGACTGTTTAATTGAGTTGAAAACTATTTTAACATGTATCATGTATGAAAATTATTTTACTTGGAAATCGTTTGAGTATCCGAAATATGATCTGACAAATGGCAGCATTTTTTTTTTTTTTTT